GAATCAACTTACGTAGCTGACTTTCCCGGCGCCTCCCGGCGCCGGAGGCGGCTGTGTCTCGAGGCATGGGCCCCTCGGTGGGGCCCTAAACCGGCTGCAGGCAGCAGATGTCGTAACCTCCCCCTTTACCAATTAATTCCCCCCCCCTTTCGTCCTTGCCCGAGCTGGGACCCCTTCAGTGCAAGCACTGATCGGGGAGCAACGCGGAACTGGCCTGTCGGGGGCGGGGGGGAACATCGGCACGGAATCGGCGATGCGCCACCGAGAGCACGGCGACAGGCCCTCGGTGCAGCGAAGCCGCACGCTCCTGGGCGGGGGCGCCGATCGGCGAGAATCGCGAAAGGGGGACTGGCCTGGGTTTGAGCAGGGACCGACCGTCCCGGCATTCCTATAGCCCTGCCGAGAAATGTTCTTAGAACCCAGACATGTTCCAAGAACAAACGAGGTGTTCTCAGAACATAAGCCCGATGTGAAAAAAAACAAGACAGACTCCGCCAGAAATGTTCCGAGCACATTTCGTGGAAGCCACAAACAGATTCTTAGAACATTGCTTGGTGGGGCTGTAGGCGAGCCAGGACGCTTCGCCACTGCTTGACACTGGGGGGGGAGACTGCTCGAACTCTATACACCGACACTTTTTCCTGCCCCGCACTGAAACTCGCACAGGAGAGCGGATCCTGGTGTATACGGGATCCTGGTGTATACATCTCTCGCTGTTTCCGCAGGAAAACGCGGAAAACAGTATACACCACACCACCCCTACGTCGTCCCCGACCCTGAAAAAAGTTCAGGGATTGAAAAGCAGCCCGCCACTGGTAATGTATATGCTCCACTTTCCGAACAGGGGGACTGGCGTGGGGGGGGGGGAGAACATCGACACGGAAGCGACGACGCATCGCCGGCAGGACGGAGCGGTGGGCCCTCGATGTAGCCTTAAGTCGGGCCTGTCCCCCTACAGGAAGATTTTGGACGGAACATAAAAAATACTCAAAACATATTCAAAACATACACCAAAATACTCAAACAATCGTCCCCATAATATTTGTTGTTTCCGGCTATTTTTGAAGATTCCCCCTGTAGAGGGAAGAGCCCGACTTAAGGCACGGGCGACGCGGAGTCGCTGCCATGCCCCTCCTGCCCCCCCCCTTCGGGATCCACCCAAAAAAAGGGAGGTGACCCCCAGGGGGGGCATGAGTTCGAAGCTTCCCCCTCTTGCCCTCTCCCCGTCACCAGAAGAAGAAGAAGAAAAAGAAACGCCGTGAACTTAAAACGTGGGCGGTCCGCGCGGACTTCTTGATTCGCGCTGGGCCGCCCCCGGCGGCGCGGATCCAAGCAATCCGCGCGGAGCGCCAGAAGCTTCTGCTCCTGGCGTTTTTCTCTTCGAGCCCCCCCCCCCGTCGCTGCCCCTGCTGCAGCGGGTCCAACATGGAACCCCTCGGCCCTCTCCCGGGGCGCGCTCTGCACAGGACTTCGAAGCAGGTCCGGCCGTGTGGCCACGGGAGGGCGCCCCAGGACGGCCTGAAACGTCCAGCGAGCGAACCTCGATGCCCCGCACCCGGCGTGGACTGGAACGAAACAAATACGCTACCGAGGAACCCCACATACTTCGATTATGGCTGGAGTGGTGATAGCTGAAGTGAAGCATGTGAGAATGATGTTGGTGGCCGTTGCCCCGCCGATACTGTTGGTGACGCCACTCAAGAGGAGAGGTGGAAGAGGAGAGGCGCCGCGCCAGCCACACTTTGCGAGCCCGACACAGATGGCGACCGCACCTCAATCCCCCACACTGGCGTGGACCGGCACGAACAAAACAACCGGACACGCACAAACTCTCGGAGCTCCGCGCGGACGTCCTGGCTCGGCGCGCCGCCCCCCCACTCCCTCTCCCCGGGGCGCGGAGCCCGCCACTCGGCGCGGCGCCCGAAGCGCCGCCGGCGGGGCCCAGGTGCCGATCCGAGGCATCCACGACGCGGAGTTCTGAAGACTTCCGTGTGTGGAGTGTGTGCTCCTGCGGGGGCCTCGCTCCTGACGCCGCCCCTGGACCGCGGCGCCGGGGGCCTCGACCCTGCGCCCCCCCCCCTGCCACTGCCTGCTGCTCGTCGGAGACAGGGAGGCGCTCTCGGAGTCCTCCATGGCCAGCCCAGGGCGCCAGGCGCGCGCGCGGGCGCCCCCCCGGACCTCGCCGCCCCGGCCAGCCCGCAGCCCAAATGGCTGCAGGCACTCTTCACCATGCGAACAGGGCGCCCCGCGGCCGAGAGAGGAGGAGGAGGAGGAGGAGGAGGAGGAGGAGGAGGAGGAGGAGGAGGAGGAGGAGGAGGAGGAGAGGAGAGGAGGGGGGCAGGAGGAGGAGGAGCAGGAGGTGGAGGAGGAGGAGGAGGAGCAGAAGGAGGAGGAGGAGGAGGAGGAGAAGGAGGAGGAGAAGGAGGGACGGAGCCCTGGATCTGTCTGCTCTCCCTCTGGGGGGTCCCGGAGGCCCTCCCACGGGCCCCCGGGCCGTCCACCGACGGCTCGGGATGAGGAGCTGGTCCTCGGGGGTGAAGCACCTGGGACCCGTTTCCCGCAGGCCCTTTCGTCCTGCAGGGCGGCTCGCTCAGACCTGGTCGTGCCACGACAGCCAAGCCATGTGATGAGAGCACGCCGACGTAGCCTGCTGTGTCAATGATGGGATATCCAGGACCCGTTTCCCGCAAGCCCCGTTTCCTGCAGGGCGACTCGCTCAGACCTGGTCGTGTCACGACAGCGAACCATGTGGTGAGAGCACGCCGACGTAGCCTGCTGTGTCAATGAGGGGATATCCAGGGCATCGTCGGTAGCTGCAGCCATGTGCGCGTTCCTTCTCCAATGTTTCGTTTGATCACCAGTCGTTTGGATTATATATTTATCTGGGCACGATCCAATCAATACGCATGCTAGCTCAGACGCCGAAGCAGAAGAGTCAACTATGACAGGAACGTCGTGTATCGTGGTTATGAAGTTTGTTGCTTTACGTATCAGGATGTCGCCCGCGGTGCGACCTGTCTAACACAGCTCCCACTTGAATTGCGCATCGGCGCCAGTTCTTGACATCTAACAGTGGCGAGACAGGTATCTGCAGGAGAGGAGTCAAGGTCTGATGCAGCACGGGCGAAACATCTTACGCTCGCCAGGAGGGAGAGGCGACAAGGAGGGAGGAGGGGAGGAGGAGGAAGAGGAGGAGGAGGAGGAGGAGGAGGAGGAGGAGAAGAAGGGAGGAGGAAGGGAGGAGAAGGGGGAGAGGGAGGAAGGAGAAGAGGGAGGAGGAGAGGAGGGATGGGAAACTTTGGGAACTGGCATCTCCAGAACGATTTGCTGAACCACGCCGTACTGATCACCGAAGCCCCCGGTGCGACCTGGCCAGCCACGCCGATACGGTACATGCCTCCACGGACGACCGAGGAAAACTACTCTGACTGAGGCCGTGCTACGCCCAACGACGGAAGACCAACCCGAGCTGGGCATAGAAGCCCCCAGCTCGACATGCCCCTCCGTCGACACCTGTTCCACAGCGTCCACCCCCCAATCCATACCCCCGCCAGCTGTCCCGTCCACTCCGCCCGCGCCTCGCTGCGGCGCGAGCCGCAAGTCCCTCGAGCCGCAGACGACGGGAACCCGCTCAGCCCTCATGTATGTTGGCGGACGCGAGTGTTGAGCAGGGACCGACCGTCCCGGCATTCCTATAGTCCTACCACGAAATGTTCTTAGAACCCAAAAATGTGCTAAGAACAAAAACAATGTTCTTAGAACATAAACCCGATGCGATAAAACAAGACAGTCCCAACCAGAAATGTACTAATAACATTTCGTGGGAACCATAAAAAAGTTCTTAGAACATTGCTAGATTGGCCTATAGGCACGCCGGGACGCTTCGCCACTGCTTGAGATCGAGGATCACGGCCATCTTCCGCTCCTCATTTTCTTGACTGCTCACTCCTCAGCGGACTCCTCAGCGGACGTCCCCTCGTGGGTCTCGTGCCCGCTGACCTTGGAATCCACGTCCACCATGCCGCCGATCTCCTCCTGCTCACCTCGAGCTTCGGGAAAATCGAACAGCGGGGACGTGCCCCCCGACCTCGTCGAGGCAGGCCAGCACACCATCCATCTTCTCGGTGTCATCCACGGCCAGGTCTTTCGCCAACTACGCGCCCGTGTCGCCGTGCCCAAACAACACCATGGCGCAGCCATAGTCTGGCTCCGCTGTAATTCGGCCGTGGACAAACCTCCCTTTAGTAAACCTCCCCTTAGTGAAAACGGCCTGGGACCGAAACCGACGGACCTGGACCCGCAAGAATGACGGCCGCGACGCCCTCTCGCGAACCGAAAACGGCCAATTCCTGAATCGACGTGTCAGGGTAGGAGGTCTGTCCACCCCCGAAAGACGAGGACCACGTGGGCCGCCTCCCGAGCAGAGACTGCGAGGGTGCCCCTCCGGCTCCACGGAGCCTCCAAGCTCGGCCGCGCCGCCCAGAGCAGGGAACGCACGGGGGCGAGGCCGCGAGCGCGGGCACGACGCGTCGCCGCGTCTGGCTCCGCTGTAGTGTCAGCCCAGCGGGAGCTGGCCACCCTCACGAGCCTCGCGCCGGCAGAGGCCGCGGTGGGCTGCTCGTGGACCAGCGGTGCGCCCCTGATCTTCGGGAGGGAGAGAGGCGAGGAGAGGGAGGAGGCGAGGAGGCGAGGAGGAGGCGAGAAGAGGAGGGAGGAGGGAGAGGAGGAGGCGAGGAGGAGGCGAGGAGGCGAGGAGGAGGCGAGGAGGAGGCGAGGAGGCGAGGAGGAGGCGAGAAGAGGAGGGAGGAGGGAGAGGAGGAGGCGAGGAGGAGGCGAGGAGGCGAGGAGGAGGCGAGGAGGAGGCGAGGAGGAGGGAGAGGAGGCGAGGAGGCGAGGAGGAGGCGAGGAGAGGAGGCGAAGAGGAGGAGGGAGAGGCGAGGAGAGGAGGGAGGAGGAGGCGAGGAGGAAGGGCCAAAGGAGAGGAGCAGGGAGGGGGAGCGTCAGAGGCCAGAGTGAGAACGCGCGCCGCAGGCACAGAAACCTGCTGAGGCCCGCGAGGGGCCGACGGTTTGTGTGCTTAGGCGGTCTATCTCTTGTTGGGAGCGCGGGGGCCACGAGCGCGCCGCGCCCCTCCCCCCGCGCAGGAGGAGGAGGAGGAGGAGGAGGAGGAGGAGGAGGAGGAGGAGGAGGAGGAGGAGGAGGAGGAGGAGTGAGAGGAGGAGGAGGAGGAGGAGGAGGAGGGGGAGGAGGAGGAGGAGGAGGAGGAGGAGGAGGAGGAGAAGGAGGAGCAGACGAGGCAGTCCTCCAGGTACTCCAGCAGGCCATCCTCGTGCGGCGTCAGTGCCTTCGGCTTCATCAGCGAGATCCTGGCGCAGCGGCGCGCGCTGCCGCGGCGGCGAGGACCGCGCGAGAGGTCGGACGACGCTGGCCGTGTACCAGATCAGCCTGGCACACGCTGCCACGCGTGCGAACATGCAACATCTGCTTACAGTCAGGAACTGCTGGATTGCGTTAAGTCGGGCCTGTCCCCCTACACGGGGATTTCCGACGAAAAATGAATAATGCCCAGCAATAATCCAAACATAGTCCAAACATAGTCTGGGGACTATTTTTGTTAGTATTGTTTTACCTTTTGGGGGTATTGTTGGGCCATCTTCTACTTTTCGTCGAAAATCCCCCTGTGGGGGGACACGCCCGACATAAGGATAGCGTGTCGCTGCGGCGGGCCTGGCGATACGCCCTGCGAGCGGATAGCGTGTCGCTCCTCTCCGCGGGGCGGGAGTCCAGGGAAAGCTCAGGACGTTGACCCTTCGGAATGGGCACGTGGATAGCATGTCGCGCCGAAGCGTGGTGGGCCAGAAGCGGCGCAGCGACACGCTAAGCCACAGTTCCTGACCGTACCCCCGTGCCCCTGCAGGCCAGGCTTCTGAATCGCTGGCGGGGGCACAGACTTCGAAGGGTGCCTGCAGCCGAGCAAGCCTCGGCGGGGGCGTCCGACACCCCGACGTCGGCAGGACCCGCAGTGGTAGCGCCCGCAGCGGATCGCAGGAGCACGCGCGGCAGCGGGTCTCGTCGTCATCGCCGCCCGCGGCAGGTCTCCCGGCCGCGCGGCCGGCAGAGGGGGGGCCTCTCGGGAGGCCGCTTTTGCGGGCCTCTTGGGGGGCCTCTTGGAGGCCTCTGGGGGGGGGGGCCTTTCAGGGGCATCTTGGGGCCTCTTGGGCGCCCCTTGGGGCCTCCTGGCCCTCTCTTGGATTTTTCTCCGGGCCGTCTTGGGGTCGTCTTCGAGAATTCGAACCGAAAAGGGAATTGGTCCCTAGTTCGCCTCGCCACCCCAGGAAACCAAAATGGGCCCACGACTCAGGACCACACTCAACGATTTTCGCCTTCTCGCCGAGGCCATCTTGGGCGCCTGGACCGCTCGCGAATGAAAGAAAAAGTTGCGTCCAGCCCGATCGTCGTAAGGAATCGAACTCTATACTCCGACGTATTTTCCGGCCCTGCATTGAAATTTGCACCGGAGAGCGGATCCTGGTGTATACGGGATCCTGGTGTATACATTTTCCGCTGCTTCCCCGGGACATCGGGGAAAAAAGTACACACCACACCACCCCAGCGTCGCCCCCGACCCTCAAGAAAGTCCTGGGATCGAAAAACAGCCCGCCACTGGTACCCATCGGTCGGAAGAAGTAGGGTAGAAACATGACGTAGGAAGGCGTTGGGAGCAGATCGGGTCTCCGCCCGCCCGCTGAAGGGGAAGGAAGAGAAGAAGCCCCTCGATCATTGAAGTAGGAAGGCGCTTAAAGTAGATTGGTATGTGGGACTCCAGAAATACCTACTTTCAACGACCGATGGGTAATGTATATGTTCCAGTTTCCGACCTTCGAACAGGACCGACTGCGACCCGTGCTGCGCCACCCCGCCCTCGCGCGGCCCGACCGCAGGCCCGCCGATCCGGAGTGCGCGGGCACGCTCGGCGGGGACCGGCTCCGGGGGGAGGCGTCGAGCTGGCATCGGCGACGCATCGCCGATAGAAGCCATATATTTTCTGTATAATTCGCGATACAGTCGGGGTGGATTGGACAGGACACGCGAGAGGACACAAGACCCTTCCGAGGGCCACATTGCCACAGGAACGTAGGAGGCATGGGTCGCGAGGCAGAGGACACAGGGGTACCCTTGACTTGGCAAGGTCGACCTACTAATCTGGGCCGACTGTAACGCCCGTGACTGGCCCCACCCCCACTCTCCTCCCACACCCTGGTCACGTCACGATTCGCGCCAACGCCGTGTGGGAATGTGTTACTCTTGGGCATTGCCAGACGGCGCCGGCAAAAATCTTGACATGACCAGCCCCCCTCCCCCTCTCCCCACACCGGTAACGCCCGTTATCGCCAGGGGATACACGAACGTTCCCTAGATCGGTGAAGTACCCCCAATAGCGAAATCTTACGGTCCTGGGAGGGGTGGGCTATCGGGCCTCTATCGGAGATGAATGGGCGATTGGGGGTCGATGCGTTCCCTGCTACGCCTATCCCCCCATAACGTTGCCCCTGAGTGCCAGCACACACGGAGGCGTGTGTCGAATTGATCTGGGACGCGGCTGGCGTCGCCAAAAAAGATGAGGCTTCTCGGCTGCACGCACTGCGTGACCCTGGGGGCTCGCCGATAGCTGCGTGCGATGCGATACGAGCCTGTTTTCCTTGAAAAACCAATCCGCGATAACGGCCGTCACCGGCCCCGCGCCCCCCCCACAGGACACAGGTGACGTCACGTTCCGCGCCAGCGGCGTCAGGGAATGCCTAGGGATGACCGAGGCCGAGTAGGAGCAGCATGCAGAAGGCGATCTGCACCACAGCGCCTGTATACCTATACGACCACCCTGTACACCACAGCACTTGCGTGTACCACAGCGCGCGTGTACACCACATGGCCTGAGTACACCGCAACAGCCGTGTGCAACGCAGCGCCTGTGTACACCGCAGTGGTTGCGTGCACCACAGCGCGCGTGTACACCACAGCGCCTGTGTACACCGACACAGCCGTGTACAACGCAGCTCTTATGTACACCACAATATTTGCGTACACCACCGCGCCTGGATACACCACAGCGGATGTGTACTCAGCAGCAGACGTGTGCAACACAGCGCCTGTGTACACCACAATGCTTGCGTACACCGCAGCGCGCTTGTGCACACCACAGCGCCTGTGTACACCACAGCATCCACGTGCAACACAACCCACAGCGCCTGCGTGCACAGGACAGGTAGAAGGAACATGTAGGTCAGGACTTGCTGCGGAAAGCTAAACACCACGCAAAGGGAGCGCTGATAATAGAATGCGAGTTTCTTCCCTCCCCCCTCCTCCCCCCGTCGTGTGGGTCGACGCTACAGCGCACGAGCGCATCTCAGTGCGCACCCCGGAAACATGGTCATTCGAATCAGTCCGCTTGTTTCGCGGACGGTCAACTCTGTGGAACCCTCCTGGACGCAGATGGGAGGAGTTAGGATAATGCGGGAGGACCCGGGAGGACCCATAATCTAGAGACTTTTTTTTTCTCAGAAGGATTCCCTTCCAAATCCAATGTAAAGCATGTGTTTTCTGTGAATTACACAGGCGCTCCACTGTGTCATAAGGATTCCTTCCAATATTAAACCTATACAACAACAATGGTGTTCTGTTGTACACGGTTGATGTGGTGCACACAGGCACCGCGGTATACACAGGCGCTGTGGTGCACGCAGGCATTGTGGTGTATTCTGGTGCTATGTTGCACACGGCTGCTGTGGTTTACGCAGGCAGGCGCTGTGGTGCACACTGGCGCTGTGTTGCACGCGGTTGCTGTGATGCACATAGGCGCTGTGGTGTACACAAGCGCTTGTGCACGCAGGCTCTGTGGTGTACACTGGTGCTGTGTTGCACGGCTGCTGTGGTTTACGAAGACGCTGTGGTGTACACAAGCGATGTGGTGCGTGCGACTGCTGTGTACACATTCGCTGTGGTGTACTCAGGCGCTGTGGTGCACGCGGGCACTGTGGTGTATTCTGGTGCTGTGGTGAAGATCGCTACCTACATGCTGCTCCGACCCGTCCTCGGCGATTCCTAAGCATTCCCAGGCGCCGCCACAAAACGAGACGTCACGTGCCCCCTTCCCCCCCACCCCCCGGGGACGGCCGTCATCGCCCCGGAAAAAAAAGGCTCTAGCAGCGGTTTGCGCTCTTCGGTTTGCCCCCCACCCGCGCCCCCCGAAAACACGCACCAAGGGTCACTCCGGCGAAGGCTCACCCTTACGCGTAGCAAGGCCTCGATCCTCGAGATCAATCCTGGCCCCGGCTACGAGCATCGATCCTCGATCGATCATCGATCCTCTCACCTCGACCGCCTGGGGCCACTCGCCGGCGCTCCCTGTTGGTTCCCTTCTTTCCTGGGCCACATGGAGGCGTCTCGTCGCCGCGGCGGCACTCGTCTCCGGATAACCCAGATGGATCCCGGGAGGGGTCTGGGAACCAATTTTGACCGGATGTGGGAAACAACCAACACACACACACAAAAAAAACATACAAAAAACACACACGGAAAAAAACACACACACACACATACACGGCCGGACGGGAGCAGCCGACGTCTCTGCCAGCCATCCTCCGACCCACGCAAGACGAAGCCTGGATGCTCGATCCATCTGGCTGCCAGCTACCAGCATCGATCCTAGATCGATCATCGATCCTCTCATCTTGACTGCCTGGAGGCGGCCCTTCATCGTCGATCCTCAGTCGATGATCCAAGGTAGAGGTTAGTGTGAGGGTGGTTGGCCCTGGTTTACTTAAAACGAGATCACGTCGAAGATGCAACCAGAGCGTGTGGTGACGACCTGGGCGATGGTCTCTGACGCCATGTGGATAGTCCAACCTTGAGCGCTCGCGCCTGCTCGATGTCGGCCTTTTCTGGGACACTAGGGGCGTTTAGCCGTGAACGCCCGCGCCAAGGTCGTCGCCGCGTCAACACGGCACAGAACTACCTAACGTAATAAGAGGTATGGCGACCAGACTTGCCAAACAGCTTGGGCCAACTCGAGGATACACAGTGGGGACTTCCGACCTCCGAAGCTTCTGACTGCTGGGACTTCCGACTCGGTAAGCTGTCCGACTGGCCAGATAACGTGGCCCAGTTCGGGGACACACCCTGGGGCCTGCGGCGAGGCCCGCGTGAGACGAGGCCGGGAGCCAGGGACGGAGACGGGCTCGGCGCGAGGCAGCTCGGAGAACCCCCGGGAGCGGGCGGGCTCGGAGGATGCACTGGTCGCGTGCGCCAAAGGGGGGGGGGCCAGGAAGCGGGGGATCAGTGCATCGTGGCCCGAGGCGTACGCGCCGACGAGGGTGGGGCCAGCAAGCGAGCTCCAGGAAGAGGGGCGGGGCATATGGCCCCGGCCATGCTATCGCCACCCCCCTAGCGCCCTCACCCCTCTCTTGTACCTCCTCGACCTTCCCCGGGGCCGCCGTCTCATCCCGAGCAATCTCTTGGCGGCCCCGGAACGGCTTCCAGAGTCCAGAGGCCGAAGGTGGCGAAGACAAGCTTGCCGTCCTTATCTCCATGCACAGACCCAAACATCCGTGCTTGTTTCAGTCCGCAGGCTCAATGGTCATGGACCCTTCCATCGGGGTACTTCAGCACATCTTGGCGCCGCCTCCCGGCCCGGAAACGGGCTCTGGAGGTCGAAATCACAGAAACCCGCGGAGATCGAGACCGTCAGTCCACCGAAATGAGCAGACTGCTTGGTTTGCGTGCGTGGCGTGTCTCCGTCGATTCGGGGCCGGTTTCCGTTGTCTCCGTCGTGCTGCGTGGGGTCCAAGCATCCAAGCAACTTGCCGCCACTTCTTCCCGTAGACCCGACATCCCGAAAAGAAAGATGGTGGAACATCACAGCAAAACACCACCTTCCGCGGCTGAGCTTTATCGACATATGAGGGCTCCAGAGCTCGAAGCCGGGCGGAAACGCCCAGCGCGAAAAACTTTCAGGGCGCCCCGGTCTCAAGGCCCGTGCGGCAAAAAGATCCCCGCGTGCATTCTTAGCCTTATTCTTCCTTCTCCCCCTCCCCCCTCCCACTCCTGGAGGCTTCCAGGATGGGATCCGAGTGAACGGGGTCGGAAGATCGAGCAGCATAGCCGATACATCGCCGTGCATCGCTGATGCATGGGCGATGCATCGGCGACGCCGACGATACATACGCGCCGTCGGCGTGAGAAAATCGGGCTCCACATCGAGCCGCATCGCCGATGCATCGGCGATGCGGCGCGATCTTCCGACTCCATCTATTCGGACCCCATCTGGGAGTCCCAGAGCTCCCCTCTTCCTCCGCCGCCCGAAGAATACGGGGATCTGGAGGCTGCTGGGGCGGGCTCTGCTCGACCTCGCCCTGCAGGATGAGGAAGCGGTTGTGCTCCAGGTCCACGCCGCGCTTGCGGAGCACCTGCGGCCAACACCCTCCTCATCCTCTGCCTCCTTCACCGCCTTCTCGTCCTCCTCGTCCTCCTCGTCCTCCTCCTCCTCCTCCTCCTCCTTCTCCTCATCCTCCTCCGCCTCGTCCTCCTCCTCTTCCTGGTCGTCGTCGTCCTCCCTGTCCTGATCGCCTGTCCTCCTCGTCATGGTGCTGCGGCTCCTTTTTCGACATTGAGCGGGCCTGACGCATTCTTGTGGCGATCTGCTACGGCTCCTCCTCCTCCTCCTCCTCCTCGTTTTCCCCTCTTCCCCGACTCCTCCTCCTTCTCCTCCCCATCAGGCCTCCTCCTCCTCCTCCTCTCCGACTCCTCTCCTCCTACTCCTCCTCCTCCTTTCGTCCTCCGTCCACCTCAGTCATTTCGGTCCTCCTCACGATTCCTGTGCCCTCCCTCCTCTTTCTCCTGCTTCCTCCTCCTCTCCTGCCTCATCCTCCATCCTTTCCTCCTAATCCTCCTCCTCCTCCTCCTCCTCATCCTGCTCCTCCTCGCTAGTAGCAAACTCACATGGGCCTGTTTTCCACAACCACCACCACCATAAGTTGGAGGGGGGAAGGAGGAGGAGGAGGAGGAGGAGTACGACGAAGATAATGATGATGATGATGATGATGATGATGATGAGGAGGAGGAGGAGGAGGAGGAGGTGGAGGTGGAGGAGGAGGAAGACCCCCTCCCCCTCCACCTTATGGTGGTGGTGGAAAACAGGTCCATCAAATTCAAGTGTATGACCAGAATCAACTCGGAATTTACAAGGAATTGTGGAGTGCCATAACTCTGGCAAGCCAGCCAGTAGGAATACTGTTTGTTTGGACGGGTTGGGCTCAGTGGCCAAACTCGGTGAAGCCCGCCGTGATGGAGGGCTCGAGGTTCTCGAGGTGCACGCAAGCTCCTCAGGATCTTTTGAGGCCCTGGGCCGACTTTCAGACCAGTGGCGACACGCACCTGGCAACGATGCACGCATGTCGAATCGCCGAGCTGGCAGCCCCCAGATTACCCCAGCCCTCACAGGCGGAGCAGGCTGCCCGGCTCTCGACAGGCGACTGGAAACGTTACCTCGCGCGATGTGCCCGGGGCTCTCGCCCTGTGGCCGGCCATTCGTCCCCAGGGTTCGAGGTAGGGGGCTCGAGGCCCCAAGGAAAGCTTGCCATTTACAGTCGGGGCGTTGATCTAAGGAACCCTAAATAAGGAACGAGGCCCCTTTTTTCCAGAAGTTCAACTTCGATCTCGTATCGAAAACCAAAGGAAAACCTAAGGCAAGCTGCGAAACAATTAAGGAACACGGAGCCCCTCCCCAATGAAAAGGGTTCCTTCTTCAGCGCCCCGACTGTAGCAGTCGGAGCCCGTTCGAGCGCGGTGGTGTGGCAAGGCGGAGCCACCTCTGGGGGCTCGTGCTCGGGCCCTGGGAGTGCTGCGGTCCTCCCCCCGCCCCGTCCCCCTACAGTCGCGCGCTCGCGTGTCGGGCATGTGGCCCGAGCAGACAACCCGTCGGCTCTGTCGTCTCTGCCACTCGCGGTGCCTCAATGGTAAGACCAAGAAGGGCCGTTCCAAGGAGTGCTGCCCAGGGGATGCTGCCGCCCCGGCAAAGCTAATTAGCGCAGCAGGCCAAAGGTGACCAGCTTCGAGTGCTTGGCAGAATTGCAGAAGAGAGTTCCATTGCTGAATGCTCTGGCCGTGGCAAGGATTCAGAATGTACTGTCAAGGGCTTCCAAGCGACTTGCCCAAGGAAGTTCATGTCTACGTTTTCGAGGGTGCATACGAGCGCCTCCAGGAGGGGAGACACCCCAGGGCTCCAAAGACCAGCCCTGTAGTCTTCAAGACTCCGATTCCCATAGGTCAGGTAGCAAGCTGAGCTCCGAGCAGTCGAGTCGCCCTAGCGAGGTTGAACCCACTCCGAAGCCGTGCGATGGCCTTCTCCTCCTCCTCCTCCTCCTCCCCCTCCTCCTCCTCCACCTCCTCCTCCTCCTCCTCCTCCTCCGCCTCCTCCTCCACCCCTTTCCTCATCAATCCGCCACCATGCCGCTGGGCTCGGAGTGGGCGTGTCCTCAGGTCCCGGGCCAACTCCTCTGAGCCTCAGCCCTCGCTCCTGCAGAGTCTCCCTCGGGGGCCCGGGCGCAACGTTCACAGATCCCCCGAGGCTTGGCGCGTGCCCTCTGGGGCCTGTCGCGTGCCAGGAAGTGGTGTCGCATGACTTGCTCGGGTCCAGGAGGGCCCCAAGACGGGCTCAGGAGGGCCCCAAGAGGCCCCCAAAACACAGCCCAAGAGGGCCCCGAGTCGCCGAACGATCGCTCCAAGACGCTCAAGACTCAAGATGGCCCCCAGACGGCCCAGGAGGCCTCCAAAACGCTCACAGAGGCCTCCCAAGAGGCCTCCCAAGAGGGCTTCCCGGCGCTCCCAGACGGCCCTAGAGGCCCCCAAGACCGCCCCAAGACGGCCCAAAAGGCCTCCAAGAGGGGCCCAAAGCGGCCCCAAGAGGCGGAGGCCCCAAGAGGCCCCCAAGAGGCCCCAAAGAGGCCCCAACAGCCCCCCAAGAGGCCCAACTGACGCCCCAAGATGACCCGAAACGGCCCCCAGGAGGCGTCCATACTGCCTCCGAGAGGCACCCGAGAGGCCTCACACGAGATCCCAACGAACATCCAATAGTCTTCGTACCCACAACCCAGGCACGGTGGCGGGATGGCCCGAAGGCCATTCGATCCGCCGCCCCCTGTTGATTTATCACAGGGGTGCCTGGCGTGCTGAATCCTCTCGGTTCTGGTTTTGATTCATTATCCCTGCAAAGCAACCTGACATCGATGTGTAGGAGCATATCTGGAAGCATTCCCCTTAAGATTCGGATGAGAATCCAGTTGTCGAATTCTGCTGTTCTCGCAGTCGTAGTCGCATTCGCGATGACAGTCGCAGTGGCAACGGCAGTCGCAGTCACAGCCTCAGCCTCAGCCTGCCTCAGCCTCAGCCTTCGCCTGCCTCAGCCTCAGCCTGCCTCAGCCTCAGCCTCAGCCTGCTTCAGCCTCAGCTTAAGTCTGCCTTCAGCCTCGGCGTCAGCCTCAGGCTGCCTTAGCCTCAGCCTGCATCAGCCTCAGCCTCAGCCTCAGCCTGCCTCACCATCAGCCTGCCTCAGCCTCAGCCTCAGCCTGCCTCAGCCTCAGCCTCAGCCTGCTTCAGCCTCAGCCTCAGTCTGCCTTCAGCCTCGGCCTCAGCCATTCATCTGCCGTCCTCTCAGGCCTCACCTCACCTGCCCCACTCAGACTGCATACACCTCAGCCTCAGCCTCAAGCTCCTTGGCCTCAGCTCACCTGCTTCGCCTCACCTCAGTCTGCCTTCAGCCTCGGCCTCCGCCTCAGACCTGCCTCATAGCATCAGCCTGCATCAGCCTCAGCCTCAGCCTCACCTGGCTGCAGCATCAGCCAGCCTCACAATCAGCCTGCCTCAGCCCAGCCTCAGCCTGCCTCTGCGTCAGCCTCAGCCTGCTTCAGCCTCAGCCTCAGTCGCCTTCACCTTCGGCCTCAGCCTCAGCCTGCCTCAAGCCTCAGCCTCACAGCCTCAGCCCTCAAGCCTCAAGCCCTCAGCTTCAGCCTGCCGTCAGCCTCAAGCCTCATCCTGCCTCAGCCTCACCTCACTGCTCTGCCTCAGCCTCCTCCTGCTTCACCTCGGCCTCAGCCTCATCCTGCCTCAGCCTAAGCCTGCCTCAGCCTCAGCCTCAGCCTGTCTCAGCCTCAGCCTGCCTCAGCATCAGCCTCAGCCTGCCTCGGCTTGCCTCGGCCTCAGCCTCAGCCTGCCTGGGACTCAGCCTCAGCCTCAGCCTGCCTCAGCCTCAGCCTCAGCCTGCCTCAGCCTCAGCCTGCCTCAGCCTCAGCCTCAGCCTGCCTCGGCCTCAGCCTGCGTCACATTCAAAATGTGGCCCGGGAATGGAGATTCTGGGAACTCGAAGAACACGAAGTGGCCTACAGTTGGCTCCGGGCATTCAAAATCATGCCCAGGAATGGAATTCTGGGAACTCGAAGATCACGAAGTGGCCTACAGTTGGCTCGGGGCATTCAAAATGTGGCCCGGGAATGGAGTTCTGGGAACTCGAAGAGCACGAAGTGGCCTGCAGTTGGCTCCGGGCATCCAAAATGTGGCCCGGGAATGGAGTTCTGGGAAATAGAAGTTGGCTTCGCCAAGGGCTATGAAGGGACGCGTGGATATATTTTCCTTTTCAAATTTCATGTTAGTGGTGTCGTGCCGAACAACGACAGATCCTATTGAACTGATCTGCTCAACAAAAAAACAAACGCGCGCAAAATCCACCGCGGATGCCCTCAGAGGAAAACGAACAATGGAATGCCGCGTAAGCGGCGCCTGCGTTCCGCCCGCAGTCCAACTGCAGACAAAACCACAAATGATCAGCCCACCGGAAAGTTCACGAGCACTGCGGCGGGGACGGTCATGCATCGAGCGACGGCAGCGGAATTATAGCCGTCTGATGGAGCTCAGCCAGGGGCTACAAACATACAACCGCAAACTGGAGGCAAAAAAAAACAAGAGCAGTGCGAAAGAAGGTCACTGCGAAACCAGACAGATGTCTCCAGGAAGGCGAATGTCTGCCAACGCGCCGCTTGCAATTGTTAATCATACTGGCCCGCGGTGAACCCCGACGGCGACGCCCAGACGCCAACAATAACACCTAGACGCCCGGTGAAGTCATTGACGCGTTGCTCAAATCCTCGCGAGCCAATCCATGAACAACCACAAGGCGAGTCGCCCTGATCAAGGCCGGGTAATCGGGCAAGCGGCGAAAATAGCGAGCCGCATCCGTATTCGCGGATAATGAGGTGCAGGAAGCGGAGCAAAGGAGAGGAGGGCGGAAAATGAAAATCATAATGAACACGGTGAAGCGAGGGAGTGTGGTGATAGGAAAGACTGGAAACGTGCAAGAGCATGAGCAGGTAGGAACACGGAAAAGGAGCTCGGGGGAGGTAGGAAGAAGCGCAAGAAG